GTGCCAACTTGGCTGACCACCCCCCCCCCCCCACCCCTGCCCTCCCTGCCTCCCTCCGTCCCTCCCCCTCTCTCCACCCGTGTTCTGCTCACGTGTTTTTTCTGCAACACTCGCAAAAAATGCTTCTCTGTCAATTTCCTCGCCTCCGTCTTGGCAGCGCTGCCGTATTTCTTGATTGAGGTTGTAAAAGCTGCATCTACTCCACCTACCTCCCTGGCCCCACGTTATCACACACACACTCGCGCACACACACCATCTTGCTCCTCACACCTTCTCTGTCACAAGCTTGGCGACATGCTAACTTGCGGTGGGAGGATAATTAGTCAAAGTGATTTCCTGCAGCTCCTCCCTCATCCACGCCTCCCTCCCTCACCTCCACACCGCAGCTTGCGTCTTTTTAGCACAGCTTGGAATGGGAGTCATGGAAATCTCATCAGCTGTTTTTTTTTTCCACTGGCATTGGAATATACACACAGATGCAACGGTCGGCGTCGGCTGTTCAGTGATTACGACCTGCATATGCTGAGGTCAGATGAGTCCGATGGAGCACAGAGACGGTGGAGGACGAGGATATATTCGTCTTGACTCATCTCAGGAATTTTAAAAGAGTTATTTTAACTAATTTTGAGGCACACCCCCTCTGGAGGCGCCAGAGTGGAGTAGAGTAGAGTAAAAAACAAAATTGCAGATCCTCATGAAAACTAGCTACTAAACGTAGCTACTGTATGATGCAATGCAATAAGCTAACATGATGCTAATTTACTAAACACTAGCAAAGAACACCACTGCAAATTCTGACGTTATGTGGTGAATGTGACATGACTGGTTTGATATTAAAAAAAATGCTGTACATTAGTATGTGTGAGGCTTGAAGCATGTTTTTTTAAAGTGTATTTAGCACCACCTACAGGCCGGGGAAGGGAAGCTACATGCTCCTTTCTAAAAGACAAAAGAGTAAAATCATAACTAAACAAAACTTCATCATTTCAAGTTCTGCCTCCGAGCCAGGCCACACTGTCCTGACGTGTATCAATACAGGAAGTAAACAACAAACCTTTGTCGTCTTTCGGCTCATGTGCAGTTCACAGGCACCCCCACAGTCTGTGTTATCTGAACAGACTTTTAACTGGTTTAATTATTTTTTGACTGTCAGCAGCAGCAGCAGCCTCTCGGTGACAGTGTGGATTCACTAAACAGCAGCAGGATGAGGAGAGAAAAGAGAATAAGAGTCTGTAAAAACTCTATAAATCATAAATCCACCCATGTGTGTGACAGACAGAGAAAGGGAGCGCCTGACGCTGGTTCACAGCAGCTGCTGCTGCTGAAGACACTGCATGATACGAAAAGTTTTGTTTTTCTAAAATGTCAAAAAAAAAAAAGCATTGTCATTATTAACAATCTTTGTCATCAACCACAGGAAGCAGACTTGGTTTTACATATCAAATATTGAAATTATGCTGTTTTTGTAGTATTTAGCCTAACAGTGTACACTTTTGGCCGCTAAAGAAACTTAAGACACATTACTGTCACCTACTGGCTGGAGTGTGTGCATCGGTGTTGCAAGTGTGCTAAAAATTAGGGAACTTAAACTTAAGGAAAGGTGAAATAAAATGCCATTTTTTAAATGATGTCACTTTGCCCGTATAATAAATAAATAATAAAAACCCATCAAAGTCCCAGTCCTAAAAATGAATTAAAACCTTAAACGATGGCAGCAACAATTAACATACTTGATAGTTGTTTTGATGTTTCTCAGAGTTTTTTTTTGTTTTGTTTTGTTTTGTTTTTTTAATCACATCCTCGTGTGTCGACCTTCACAACAGAGTAAACTCTTACAATTAGAAAATAATTCAATGTAAACAGTCATTGTTTTCATTGTCTCCTAATAAAAGCTTGTTGACACTGCCTGCATGGTCGCTCGTGCCTGAAATGGAACAGAAAAAAAAAGAAAGAAATTAGAGTGAGACAGTGAAATAAGTTGTTCGGCTCATTAGTTTACTGTTGTGAGATTCATTCATCAGTGTGTTGTTGTTGGAGGAGGTAGTAGGAAAATATCACTCTGGAGTTTGGAGAGCGGAATACTGTTAAATACCATGTTCAAAAACATATATATGTATAATTGTTATGATTAATCATGATTACCCATAACAATTATGATCACAAATGATCATGATTAGTCAAGATAAACCATCATTCCTAAATACATTTATTTACTGCAGGAACAGAAAGACAAATAACAGCAGGCAGATCTCAGTGTTTTTATTTGTGACTAATCTAAATGATGGAATTTATATGGAAAATTTTTAAGACAAATGTATACAAAAGTATAACTCCAAATGTAGTTCTCATTGTTTTGTATCAGTACTGTGTGAACGACAGGCCAATGATGACAACAATACAGTCAGAGAAAACACCAGAGATTTCCATTGCAGACTTCTCCAACTGTTCCCTGGTGCAGCTCCTCTGTGGGTCACTGGCTTTACTTAAGTAAAATGATAACAAAAAAGAAAAAAAACTTTTCCTGAAAACCCCCAAACTGTTAATGAATTTCCACACGGAGGGTGAGCGTTGGTGTGGCTAGGAGCAGAAAAACACAAAAAGTATAATAATAGACCTGTGATGTTACACCCTAACATTGCAGGAAGAGCAATTTCATGATGTCCTTATGAGACACCAGTTTTATTTTAATTTTATATTTTTATCATATTTGTTCAAATGAGTTCAAAATTGTCTGTGCGATTTAGTCTGGATGTGAAACAAAATGAACAAAGTTCAAGTTCCCTGTATTTCTCATCTTTCGTTTTCACCTGGGAACTCATTAGTTTGTGTTCACGGTAAAATAAAATATCACTCAACCAAGAAGGTTTTTTTTTTTTTTTTTTTTTTTAATGAATGATGATTTTAAGAATATAGTGACAGTGGAGGTAGAAGACTGAGCTCTGCATCTGCTTTCTGCTTCCTCTCATTTTGAATCATCATCATCTTCATCATCCTGGGATTTCCAAACTTGTCTACACTGTCAGGCTGGGAAGGGATCACTGATGTGAACTGATGTTCATGTGTTTTATCTTTGTTTTTTATGACTTCTATTTATGTATTATTTAAAGAAACAGCTTATATTCATATTTTACAAACTTTAAGTGTATAAATACACAACTAAAGCTGTGTGTGTATGGAGCAGGCCCTCCATAGAAAAGTCAAGCCATATATTTCCTAATAAAGGAACACTGGCTTTTTGCAAGTCATTTTGCAACTTTAATAACTTTTTAAAAATAAAAATATACGTGTGTGTGTGTGTATGAAGACATAGTACTGCACTGAGTGTGGCTTACATCCCCATGAACTCTGATACTCACTGTCTGTTTGTGTATGTGTGTGTGTTGTTGCAGCTCTACAGCTCAGTGGAGTTTGGGCGGAGATGGCAGCTGGTGCACGAGAGAGTGGCTCCAAACCGTTTCTACTGGTGAGTCCTGGTGGAGTCCAGGAAATACACTTGGTCTCTGTTATTTACCATGTCATTTGGTTGCCGGTTTACAACCATCACACCCATGCACGCAGATATAAGTCTGTAAAAAAATAAAATAAAACAAAATACAATTTGAGGTTAGAAGTCAATACTCCTTTAAACTTGCATGTCAAATTTCACAGATTTCCACATGAAACAAATTAAACACTATGATCAGAAAAGGCAGATGTCCACTGTGAGACTAACTCTATAAATATCCACAGCAACAGCTGCACCCAGGGTGTGTAAGTGCCCTGGACTGAGTCACTGTCGCTGCATGAAGTGAAAAGGAAAAAATGTTTTTCTTTTTTTTAAGATTTCCATTATTCATGTAAAATACATCGCACATCTCTGACAGAGATTTGCATTTGGAAGATAATTTGAAGTCTTTAAGCTGTAGTCTGATGTGTTAAGGTGACAGTGGCAGGGATAGGGTTCCTGCTGGCCATGCAGTAGGTGAATCCTAAAGTGTAGGATAATTAAAATAAAGACAAGTTGACTTGAAAAGAAATACATGAAAAAAAAACTGAGCCAGATGACCTGTTCTTTCTTTTTCTATTTCTTACTGTCCATTGTTTTTATAGCAGCTGTATTCATCACGATTTCTTAATATTCAATTTCCATGAAGTGAACCGTCTCCCTGGTGACCCTTGATGGTAGAAACCTAGTTTTGAGCTATTTAATAATCAGCAACACACTGTAAAAATACTGTTGTGTGTTCATGTTATTCATATGACATTTAGCACAAATGACACATATATGTATATACACATACATGCGAACATATATATGTGTGTCTGTGTATATATACAGTACATATATATTATATATATATACATGTATATATATAGAGAGAGAGAGACAGGGATCTTAAAACTCTCTTAAAACTATTTTTCAAAAGTCATGTTAGTTTTATTGGTCAAAGGAAATCAAGTTAAGCTTTTGTTAAACCAGTCCTCTGTGACAGCAGGTGTGAACCAAACGGTTTTACTACGTGTCACTTCGTCTTGTACAGTTTTACATTTTCCAACTGCTGCCATTAACGTCTGGGCCTAATGGGTTTGCTATGGCAACGCACCCTGCATCTTTGTGAGGACTCTGTGTTTCCTTCAGTCCCATTCACTGATGTAACATCCATGAAATGGCACCATTTCACCTCTCCAGGTGAGGAAGTAAAGAAGAGAAAAAAGAAGTAAAAGTAAATTCAAGATTTAAAAAAAACCCAATAACTTCCGTTTTATGTCACAAAAGAACAAAAATAAAACCTTAGTTTTATAATAAAATATATGTGACTCACGCTCTACACTCAGTATTTAAATGATTTGCATTTCTGTAATTTGAATGTCAGTTATTGACACCTCACTGACGCTGACTAAAAACATTTCACCTGATGCTCTCGTTCTCATGCCCTGTAGCAATTACAGGATGTGAAAGCCTGCAATTATTAAGCCATTTAAACCTAATGTTATTTCACTTACCTGACCAACATTGACAGACTCCAGTGGAAAAAAAAAAAACTTTGGTCAGGATTTGTCTCAGTGAATATGTGTGGACTTTTTGTCATGTGTTCACTCTGTCGTTTCCACACTTGCAGGCCTGGGTTTACTCGCACTTATCACATTCACCTTCGTCTGCTCCCCCGTAATTTCCTTTGCCTGCTGCATTGTTTCACCTGCGCGCTGATGCTGTCCAACCTGACGGTATCAGCCTGCACCGTAGCCACTAACACGAAAACAAAAAAGCTTTTACCTCAGCAAAGTGCGGAGCAACTGTCAGTGTTAGTAACAAGCTGGGCAGCCAGCAGCGGAGGCAGCCTGCAGGGCTGATGCTGCAGCGGCTGTCAGGATTCTATTTTAGGACCGGCACCGTGCTCTAGGTGAGGTGGAGGCCCCGGTAATGAGGCTGCTGAGGAGCTCAGACGTCGGCTGCACATGTGGACAACAAACATGTGGGGGAAAAAAAAAAAAGAAAAAGATGAGGAGCCTCAGCTCTGCTCAGCCACAGCCACAGCACTGCCCGCTCTGAGTCTGGACTGCAACCTACATTTCACAGCGTTCAGCTGTAATGACTTTGGAAGCCTATTATGTTGACAATACAAATCTGAACCAAAAGCATTTGCAGCTGCCTGCTGTGGTTTTGTGCAGAACTCTGGCTGCTGCTCAGCCTGGAAGGAAGTTGGGGGCGGGGGCAGTGAGGGGGCACTCGATAGATCAATATGTGCATTGACAAAGCGTAGTGCATGTTTTTTTACTTACACACTTCTTTGGCCACAGCAGTGACTTTAGCTGAACTCCGAGCAGCGATCATTTTCATTTTTACACATCCGTCAATGTTTATGTTTCTCTCTCTCCGAGGAGATAAAGATGTTGAGATCTTCACTAGGAGTGACCAAGACGGACAGGATGTTATATGATCAGATCATCAGGACAGTTAAGGTGGAGCAGATAGGTGATGAAGTTAGAGAAGTGAGGTGGAGATGGTTTGGACATGAGCTGAGGAGAGAGTGGAGATGATGGACAAAGGATGTTGGAGATGAAGCTGCCAGGGAAGAGGAGAAGAAGATTATTTATGGAGATAGTGATGTAACACAGGAAAAGGAGAGAAGAAAGTGGATGATCCGCTATGGAAAACCCTGAAAGGTGAAGCAGAAATAAGAAAAATTCAAAGATGTTCCAACATTTTTGATAATTGTATACACCAAACATTCTCCATGCACGCTAATAAATTAGCCACAAAGTCCTACCTTAAAGACCTACACAATCGCACTGACGATGCCTTCACATACCGCGAGTCTGTGCACATGTGCTGAGTTTTAAAATCTGAGTTTAAACACACCAGAAGCTCCACTAACTCAAAGACTTTGTCCACCTCCCCGCTTCAAATCGCTTTCACCTAACTGAAAGGATTATCGTAGGGATGGAATGGAAATGTGGTTTGCATAAGTAGGCCATCAGATTCACAGTTGTGTTTCATCTGGGAAATCACCGATACTTCAGTCAGCTCGATGATTAGAAGCCATGGTGGTCTCTCTGACTATCACTGTGTCTGTGCTCACACACTCTCTTTTATAATTCCCCTCTCCGTGTGCTACCTGTCGACACATTCTCTCTCCCTCTCTCTGTCTCCATGTGTGTTCTGCCTTTTCTTCTCCTCTGATCCACCAGTCCTTTTAATACATATTTAATGCCCTAATGATTATATGCTATTCCATCTCCGGGCATCCTGACTGTAGCAAGGAAATCAATGGTTTTTTTTCCTCTCCTAATGATGTCAGGAAGCATCCTCCTCCATCTTTCTGCTGCGGCATAAAGATCTTTGAATATTTCCACGGCACCGCAAACCTGAGCTTCTCTTTTTCGTAAACTTTGAAATGCCTTGAAGACACAGGCTGGGTAATTCCCACAGCCAATTCCCACTGATGTTTACCACTTCACTGTTGTCACACATTCATGCCATAGTGCAACACTCTAATCTCCCAGGTCAAATGGCATCTGAGCTGTAAGGCAGCCTCTGCCCCGGGGCAGACAGAGTCTTGGTGATGACCCTGAAACACATTTGTCTGCCTTCCAGGTCCAAGATGGGTTTGGACAAAGAGCCGGGCCTGATACACCTTGAGACCAGCATCTCTGAAGGACGTGAGTAATTGAATGCCAAGTTCATCTCTCCACTTTCTGGTGTCTTTGTAGCGCACCGCGAACACTGTCCCTGAAGTAGAGGGGAATCAGGTGTTGTGTCGACTCACCTGCTGAAGGGTAATGCAGTGAGACAAGACAAACAGCAAAGACTGGGGACACGCACGACACCGCAGAGAAAAGTAATGCATACATTTGAATGCTTTTAAAAGCATCAGAGTCAGCCCACTGTTAGGACAGTGGAAGAAAAGAAAAGAAATTCTCCTGAATTACAACGGTGGCTACAGTGAAGGTTGATTTTTAAAGATTGACGTTTTGCTTTCAGGTTTCAAAATACGCAGGGAGAAATAAGATTTGGAAGCTTTTCAGCACTTCTTTGATTCTCACACACTGGTGCAGTGGTCACGGCCGAGGTCTTACAACAAGAGAGTCTGCTAAAAAAAACAAAACAAAAGATAGACACAGTCAGAGCCCTGCAGTTCCAATGCTGGCCAATCGAATAATAATAAACAGTGCTTCCTGCAGATTGGTGTTTTCAAAGTCTTAGACTTCTCTTACTTACAGTACATTTACACATAAAGACATGTACACCATGAGGCCAGACTTTCAATAAGCTCTAACTAACCCTAAAGTACTCTGGAGCCCCCTGGGGAAAGCATGCCTCTCAGTTACAAAATAAATGAATTAAACAAAACAGATTCAAAGATTAAGTATGTTCAAGATGTTAACCATCAATTAAAGTTTTGTTGTGTGTAAGGGTGTTGGCTTTGCTGAACCCTATTGGCTGAAAAATCTCTCCTCTTGTAGGATTGGCCCTGCTTCCAAAACAAATCTATTTTAAGGGAAGTGGAAGAATGACCTGCCAGTGACCCCAAGAGTTTAGCCAGCCGTCCATCCATCAGTCCATCCATCTATACACCCATCCATCCATCTATTAATCCATCTATCTATCCATCCAACCATTCATCTGTCTATCTATCCACCCAACCATTCATCTGTCCATTAACCCAGAAAACCCAGTTCTGTCTTGTTTTTCACATATTGTGGAAAGTAAAAAACTGATTAAAAAAATAATTAAAAAGTAATGAGTGTTAATGTTAATCCATCAATTCATCACACCAGAACTCAGTCCATACAATAAATAACAATAGTGATTTTGGACCAAAGTCAAGTATGTCCTGGTAATTCAAAACTTTCTTCATATTAAACACAGGGATGAAAGAACTTGAAAGAATTTAATAAATATCTGTTTTATTTTTCTTCTTTTTCAAAAGGCTTTCTCAAACACCGCTGCCATCTTTCTGTCAGAGCCGCCCTCTTTCAGGGCAGATGTAGCACAGAGCAAACGTTGCCAGTGTCAGATCGTACAGTTGCATATCCACAAAGCATCAGCATTGATCATGTACAGTAGGAGAGGGCGACACTTTGTTGGCAGAGACTAACATGTGGGCACAGCTCTCTGTCAGAATGCTGTAAATGTGGGCAGAGAAAGCCGCTGGCCTCTGTGCTCATCTGTCCGTCTTCTTTACAGAGACCAGTTTAACGGTACAAGTACAGCGGGCTGTGTTGCTATTGTTTTTTTACTATTCGATGATTTCACAGCCTGGTTTTCACACACGTGTATCTTTGTGTATTTTTGGGGAGCAGAGGCGCTTTACGTCACCTGCAAGCTGCAGAACTGCACCGACGCTAACAAAGGCAAACCATTCCCAGGCTACATCGACCCCAATTCTCTGGTGGTGCAAGATGAGTACGTTTTCGTCCAGGTGGGTAATTAGGTACTCAGAAAAACCATGCGATTAACTGCATTGTTGTACAGGAAGTTCCACTTCTCTGTGGTATGACAAATTACGTTGGTTCTATCAACTCCAGGGGCTGAAAAAGATTTATGTCCATGTAAGAGCTGCAGCAATTGTAGCCTTGTCCAGTTCATGGAAATCCCATGCAACCAATTTCTAATTCAGTGGTACTGCAGTAAAAATACTGCAGACCTTTTAAAAATACTCAGTTTTTCTTCTTCTATGTGAGATTTGTGGTTTTAGCTTCACAGTTTGCATGAATTTACATTAATTCTCTCATATGTGCATCTCATCCAGTATAGAACAGGAAAACAAAAAAATGTTATAAAATAATGTTATTTATTGTTCCGGTTCTAAACCAATCAAACGTTACCTTTTTGTTCTGCAGACCTCTATTAGTATCAGTGGAGTTGCCCTGATGTCTGTGAAAAAATCCAAAGTGGAAAGAGCTGAAAATGTCACCCATGATTCAGGGGCTTTGTCTGAATGACGCTCTATAAATCTGACGTCACGGAGAACAAACACTGTGACTGAAGCTCTTCTGAACTTTCTGATAACCTTTGGTGGTGTCATTTGAATAATGTTTCATCTATTTATGTCTTGTCTCTCCGCTGACATCTTCATCACGTCCAGGTGTCAACTGGAGGAAAACCAATCTACTATGTGTCGGCTAAAAGAGACGTCTTCACTCCCATGAAGCTGCCCAAGTACACGATGCCCAAGGTAAATAACAGAATGTTGAACAGTTGTTGGGACTTTATCTGATCAACACCACAACTGGGGATATTAACATGTGCTGTAGTCAGTGACTAGGCTGGGGGTAAGGGGGTCACTGACTGGGGGCCAGGTCCCAGTCAGTGACCCCCCCTGGTCACTGGGGGTAAGCCTCCAGTCACTAGGTGGCAGCAACTCATACAGTGGTTTGTACAGATAAGAATATACATGTTATCGGGTTCTCAATAGTATTTTGAATTTGCGGGGGTGTGGGTCAGAGGAGGGGCGTGAAAACATTTCTGTCCACAAGGGGGGGGGGGGCATGACAGAACTTTAGAGGAATAGCAAAGGTGGATTGGATGGATTAGTTCTACCTACAGCCAGAAAGGAGAATGACAACAGGCAGCAACGACCCCAGACGTTTATGAGCAACCCACCGCAAGTTGAGCAATTGGCACACCAACTCCAACAAGCATAGCAACAATGACAAGTGCACCAACAGCAGGTTAAAGTTCACATTACTATGGTCAACCTACCAGAGATGTGTACCCACCCACTCTCAGCTCTGTTTTTCCCGTGGCCTGATGGTACACGAGTGCTGCCTCCACATGACATTGTTTGAGTTATTTATGTTCAGACCGAGGCCGGAGGTAGGTCTCAACAGTGTTCCCGCTGTTGTTATTCCATGCTGCTCTGCATGCCTACACCCAGGCCTGTCACGTAGCTCCTTTGACAATTAAAGCATGTTTTATTCAATCAGGCTGAAGGCCTCACCTTCCCCGGCTGCTGCGGGCTCACTGCGAGGTGCCACAGGCACAGTCAGTGGCAGATGAGGCAACCGTTCTGAGCAGCGTGAGCCGGGCCCCATCCTCTCTGCCAAAGAGTCCTGGTGCTGTTTTAATGACTGCCGTATCCTGTCAGTTAGAGTATGTGAGCGCGTAGCACTTCTGATTATTTAATGTGATTAAACTCTGCAGGTGTCTCAGATCAGTAGACAATATAGAAGTTTGTTCTTCCTCCTTCTGAGCCAGTCTTGTTTTATTTATGAAGCACTTTTAGGAAGCAACGCGCTTGGCAAAGGTGATGCACAGTAAACTTTTAGAGCTAAATCCTCCCCCTCACAAACTCCTCAATGAATTTATATCATTGCTGAGGCCCACGTTCACTTCCCAGGCTTTAAGTCTAATTCATCACTTCTGTATCTAGTTGCAGTCAATCGTAACATCATTGGACTGCTGCTGGCAGATAAATAAAAAAAAACAAAAAAAAAACACAAGTTTCACAGTCTGTGGCGTTAGGGTTGTCTGTTTTCCCCTTTCTGCTGTCTGCTGTGTGGGGTTAATCAGTTTCATCATACTCATCTGTGTGATTTCTTTTTGTACTGACGTGGTCTATATCTAGATTTTAAAATCACTCATGTCAGTCTTGTTTCTAAACTCATTGTTTTCCTTGATCATCAGTGGCTTTCATTTAAACCATTTTCTTTTTTTTTTAGTCATGATATTGTTTGTTTATTTTTTCCTAGTAAACAACAGATCACTTATAGTGAGGTAATGCGCATCGCGCCGACCTCTGTTCAGAACAGCTTATTGTTCTGATCGTCATCACAAAAGTGTGCTGCTCGTTTCCCACCGATGAGTAAATGAGCTCATTTGTGCACCGACCTTCATCATTTCTACGACATGTTGTAAAAACAGATGCCAGGTCAGAACTAATTGCCCTTCAGAGCTTGTTTTTAGAGTATAAATGATCAACCCTCTGTAATGTTATTCAGAAGTGTGTTGGCCGGGGGCAAATGAAGAGGCTCCACCAAACGGAACCACAGGACAGGAGGCCCAGTGGCCAAAAATCACTTCCTGTCATTATAAATTCTTAATTTCTTCCAATTCTTTTGTGAACTAATTTGGCCAAACTGAGTTCACTCAGTTTACAGCCCCGGGGCGTTCTAATTCCCCTGATGTTTGCCCCTCCACCAGGACCTGCATGTGATCAGCACAGATGAGAACCGCGTGGTGGCAGCCGTCCAGGAGTGGAACCAGAACGAAACCTACAACCTGTACGTGTCAGACACATCGGGAGTCTTCTACACCCTGGCCCTGGAGAATGTGGTCAGCAGTATGGGCCCTGAAGGCAACGTCATGGTAGACCTGTATGAGGTAGGTTAAATATTATAGCTGTCCAGAACCTTAACCTTAACCCCAGCAACCGCTAACCTTTAATCCAGATTCACTCTTCAATCACAGTGTGCTAACATATAAACAAACCAAATACCTTAAAAAAATAAATGTACATCAACATTATCAGCATTTCAACAATAGCTAACTGTCAAATACAAATCCCATTTCCAGTCAGTACACAATCAAGTACTGGAAACTTTGGTTGTCAGGCAAACTGTGTGTTTTGACACATTCTTCTATTTAATTCATGTGCTTCCTTGATGTTACAATCATGCTTAGGTAAAAAAAAAATCTTTTCACAGAAGTTTCATCATGGATCGTATTGAGACAAATTTCTTGAATTTTGTCACCTTATAATACATCAACTTATTGGTTGAGTCTAGTACGTTAGGAGTAAACAGACAATCCAAATACAAATGTATGTACCAAATCCTTGAGAAGGTCCTTTGTGAAGAACACATCTCCTTTGATACCCCCTTTGTTTTGGATCATTTTGACCGTCCTTGATCGTGATGATCATCAGTGGATGCTCATCTTTGTCTTTCCTGACACGTAACGCTCACAGTATAGTATTTTACCCTCCAGAAAATTGCTTTTACAAATCTTTTAAATAGTACTCTGCTTCTGTCCCAAATTTAATGTGTGTGGTCATCGGTGCAAAGTCTGGCATTTTTAATGAAAAGAATTAAGAGTGCCAGTTAAAACTATGATACTTTACTGTGTTTCAATCTTCGGTTTTCAGGGTTGTTTTTTTTTTTTTCACATCGATCAACAGTCGCCGTCTCTTTCCTGATTATTCATCCAAACGTGATATTGTTTCAAAGACCAAAACAAAAGCCGTAGTGACATCACATGGACCGGTACCGATTTTTTTCGTATTGATTTTAACATCAGCCAAAAGTGTTTACTGACAGTGATGTCAATCAAATGCAGTCATTGTGGAAATGTTCCCATTAGTGTTTTTTTTTTAAATAGTCTATAATTACAGATCTGTTAACGCACAATGGCTGACACGATATCTCGCTCTTTCGCTCATTCTAGGAATAGTCTTTTTAAACAAAATGCAATCTAGTTTTTTTGACCAGTATTTAACGTTAGCTTACATCAGGGGTTTTGAAAGCGTCAGGCTCTTCTGTCCTCTGCGGGGTGCCAGAAAACCCCAGGGTAGGGCAGACAACATGCAAAACTAGCCAAATTTGATCAATTTTTTTGTTTTTTCAAATAGAAAAGTCAAAAAATAATATGGATACTAATTTTTGCCACCTGTGTGTTTGTTTTTTATTGTATTTGTGGTGTGTGTGTGTGTTGGCTTTTGAAACCCCGGGTTTACATTGAATAAGCTCATCCTAATTGTGTTGTTATCCGATGTTTTCTAGAACTCAGAAATGAATCCACTCCTAATCTCAACTTTTGTGTTGTTATTCCGATCGTCGCTTTATAGCCTGAAACCTGTTTTCGTTGTTTTGCTGGATTTCTTCATCTTCTCTTTCTTTAATAACAGCATCACAAAGGACCTGCATGATGAGGGCCTATAGGCCAGGAGTTATTTTGAGCTCTGATCAATATTTTAGAGCTCGGCGGTGGAGATGATGAAATATGCTTCTTTTGTCATTTTGGAAACAAACTGTGTTGCTGCTGCTGCTCCTGCTCCTGCTGCTGCCACTGCCGCTGCTGCTGCTGCTGTGAGACCACAGTCTTCACTGTGTGAATACAAAAGCAGCTTCAAAGTGCTGACATTCACAAAGGCAGAATGGGGATTGAGCCAGGGATATAGATTTTTTTGGAGGCTGAGATTATTTCTTTGTCTGATTAATAACTGCAGATATTACTTCAAAAATTGCATGTAAGTCCAAAAGTGCAAAGTAAATACATGAATACATAAAAAATGAAGAGAATAATTAATAATAAAACTTAATGATTGAAGGCAACTAAGGGCAAATGTTAAGGCTCTGTTGATGGTGAGGTTTATTTACACATTCTTCCTAACAGTCAACAACCTGTGTGACCTAAGAATTCATCAGTATCTAATCTGCAAATCACTACGTCTATGAATGCACCACAGTACATGTTTTTGATTTTAAAATTCGCCTGTGATTCCACACAGGGAGCCATACTAGGCCCTTTACCATTTTAATAGTTTTTCACGTAAGTGTCTAAATGAAATTAAATACTTGAATGAAGTGTTGATAGATTTCCCTTTTATTTTTATTGTTATGGCAATTATTTTCTGAACATCATTTTCCATTATGTGTTTTGTGTCTGTTTTTCTTGACAAAGAGACAAAGTCTTTGTGTCTTTTCTGATGTGTAAAGGACACCATAGTTTCTGGATGTATTTGAGCTATAAATCTGTTGATGGTTGCAGTAATGTTGCTCCCTTGTGGTTACTTGTTATAGCCACTGTAATTTCCTCCTACTGCCAAGTTGCCCTGAAAGGCCAGCTTCATCTTATACATGGTCCATTAGTCCTCCTTATCTAACGCAGTGAAAATAAAGTAATTGATTGGTTCTGGATAATGAAGTGAATCAGACAAAAGATGCACAGAGGATGCAGCCCATGTTGTCCTGTGGCCTCCTGTGGGCGTCATAATCAAATCCACTGTCTTGATTGGGGTCACCACCACTTCAAAAATGTAGAATAAGCTAAAAAAAATCTCCTCCACTCTGGGAGAGTGAAGCGTCTGTCGATTAGTGAAGTGGACCCACTTTAGTTGATGTGACAGAGTCGGATCAGCGTTTCTGAGCTGATCCTCTGGGCCTCAAACCAGGAGTCACATCCATTTAGGACACACATTGATTACTGACAACATCGCAGTCAGTCATCATCTGTCACCGAGTGTGTGTCGCTGCCTGTGGGTTGGTTAAGAACGCAGCGGCTGGACATGCTGCACTGGGGCTTTAGTGGCTTTTTCATGACAAAGTGATGAAGTGATGGAGATCAGGAAATGTTGACTTACCCTCAGTCATGTGACAACCACTTCCTCTTTCCACTGTTTTCTTACATCCAAGGTCGCTGGGATTAAAGGAATGTTCCTCGCCAACAAAAAGACAGACAACCAAGTGAAGACCTACATCACCTACAACCGAGGCAGGGACTGGAGGCTGCTGCAGGCCCCCAGCAGAGACCTGAGGGGCAGCAGCATCCACTGTGTGCTGGTGAGTGTTTTAAACTCTTTCTGCTGGTTTCCTTAAAACAGGAGTTGATGGATCTTAGCTGGAATATTATTTCAGGATCCTCACTTAAAAGATGGTTGATTTTAGCTTAGCAATCATAGCTATCATTTAGGAAACACTAATAGAAATCAGTGTAAAGAACATGTGGTTATGTTCTTGTTTAAGACCAGGTTTTGTTAAACTCTAAGTACTAGTATATTTGTAAATCTTCGGAGAGCTTGCGGAACGTCCACATAGACCAGCACTCTCTCTTGCACTCCCAGAAGGACCTCCTTCTGAGCAGCACACACCTCCATCGTCACCATTCTCATTTGTTATTGTCAGAGAAACTGAGGTTTACGGAGGAGTATTTGAAGAGTGAGGTTGAAAACAGTAATACTTCTACTGGTATTTTATTTGTCTGTTTCCTTTTTTCCATCATAAACTTTTGGTATTTCACTTTCAAATATGATTTTTTTTTTTTCTTTTTACATTTTTGTAGCCATGCACAGCGGAACCACGAATGCCTCCCTTTTTGAACAATTAAGTTCACAAATAAGTTTTAAAGCAGAAATTGCTCCGGTTGTCGTACAATAACTGAGTGTTAAGAACTGTTGTCTGATTTTGCCAGTATTTATTGAGTTATGCTATTTTTTATATATATATTCTTTTTATTCCATCACCATGTGAACTAAAAAAGCTAGCGTAAGTGGAAAGGTGAAAAGAAAAATAGTGAGAACAACAATAGAAGTGAAGAAAGATTATAAGAAAGCCTGAGAATGGCACTGTGTTTCAGATCTGTCTTTACAGTAGGGTTAGCTTAGATTTGTACCATCATTAAGAACAAGAAAGCAATAAAAGAAGCTAAGGTTGCCAAAGGAGTGACTGTGATCACCAAGCAAAGATCTCCGACATTAGAAGAGATGGAAAAGCTGCTACTGATTTGGATCAACAAAAGCAGTTGGCCGGAGACAGTATTTCCAGACAATAATTTGTGAGAAAGTGAAGCGAACCTTGCGCAATCACGACTCCTCAGAGCCAGTAAGGATGACTGAAATTGCCTTTCCTATTTATAGCTTTATTCTTTATTCAGTTGTGTTTATCTTTTTTGTTAGATCTAATTATTTTCATTGGTTTTGGGTATGAACCTGTACACTAAATACCGTTGAAAACATTTAAATAAGCAATCATCTGGGGTCTAGAAACAGATTAATTTACATTGATTCCTATGGGAAAATTATTTCAGTTTTCAAACTTCTCAAAGTTCCAAAACTGAGGTTCCACTGTACTACCTAAGGACTAACTGTCTTGTAGATTTGTTATCTCTCGTCAGGGTTAACTTCCAGTCGGCTTCACTTTGTCTCATTTTGCTCAAATAAAAAACTATGACTCGGTTAACTTTTAGTTTGATCCTGGTAGCAGAGGCAGGAGCTGAGTACGAGCAGTGTCTGCCAGAGCTGAGTGCTCCGAGGCTGCAGAGCATAAAAGGTCAGCTATTTTGATTCAGTCAGGCAAATCTTACCTGTCATTTAAGAAACACTAAGAGAAAGTGGCATCAGGTGGAGGATATGATGCTGCTACTTCTTATTACCTGTCATCCTCCATGAAAGTCTGCTTCAACGGTCAAGCTTTTTAAGTTTCAGAACAGAACCATCGGTACCTCTGGGAAAAGCATTGAAATACACTATATTACCAAAAGTATTGGCTCACCTGCCTTGACTCATACTATGAACTGAAGTGCCATCCCATTCCTAACCCAGAGTTCAATATGATGTCGGTCCACCTTTTGCAGCTATTACAGCTTCAACTCTTCTGGGAAGACTGTCCACAAGGTTGAGGAGAGTGTTTATAGGAATTTTTGACCATTCTTCCAAAAGCGCATTGGTGAGGTCACACACTGATGTTGGTCGAGAAGGCCTGGCTCTCAGTCTCCGCTCTAATTCATCCCAAAGGTGTTCTATCGGGTTCAGGTCAGGACTCTGTGCAGGCCAGTCAAGTTCATCCACACCAGACTCTGTCATCCATGTCTTTATGGACCTTGCTTTGTGCACTGGTGCACAGTCATGTTGGAAGAGGAAGGGGCCCGCTCCAAACTGTTCCCACAAGGTTGGGAGCATGGAATTGTCCAAAATGTTTTGGTATCCTGAAGCATTCAAAGTTCCTTTCACTGGAACTAAGGGGCCAAGCCCAGCTCCTGAAAAACAACCCCACACCATAATTCCTCCTCCACCAAATTTCACAGTCGGCACAATGCAGTCTGAAATGTACCGTTCTCCTGGCAACCTCCAAACCCAGACTCGTCCATCAGATTGCCAGATGGAAAAGCGTGATTCATCACTCCAGAGAACGCGTCTCCACTGCTCTAGAGGCCAGTGGCGGCGTGCTTTACACCATTGCATCCGACACTTTGCATTGCACTTGGTGATGTGTGGCTTGGCTGCAGCTGCTCGGCCATGGAAACCCATTCCATGAAGCTCTCTGCGTACTGTACTTGGGCTAATCTGAAGGTCACACGAAGTTTGTAGCTCTGTAGCAGTTGACTGTGCAGAAAGTCGGCGACCTCTTTACACACACATACACGCACACTCTAGGTTTGATTTTTAACAGTATCACGTAATTTTCTGTTGCCTTACTGCCCCCTGCTGACACTACGTATGACACACAGGAAAACCCAGTTCAACCGGAAACATTCTTGCAAAAAATAAATAAATAAATAATAAAAAGTTTTAACATAAAACACTGATATTGACCGCACATGTCTTACTTCTACCTGGTTAAATTGTTTTTATGTTGTCTATTATGTATAATTTTATGAAAGCTAATATTTCATGACTTTGTTTTTATTTGTTTATTCTAAAAAATGTCCTAGGTATAAATTAATTAGCCAGTGATCAACCCGTCTTCATAAACCAATTAGAGATTCGGTGACATGTTTCTCCTTCCGCCCTCATTTCACAGCCATTTGTCAGGAAATGCCAGACATTTAATAAAGCTTTTAAACAGGCCGTCACAGCACAGCCTGCACCGGTGGCATTTCACTGTCTCCTAATGAGAATTTTGTCAGTAAAAGGTTAAACCAATCACAGTTGATGGTCAGGCCAGCCAATGGGGGAGTGGTGTTGGTGATGAAAGTTACTCAGTCCAATTGAATCCCACTGTTGTTTTGCTTTGTAGAGTCAGGCTAACTTTGATAGCTCTGATAATTGAGTCATGTTAATTTTTTCCTCTCTCTCTCTCTCTCCGTCTGCAGCCGTACTGCTCTTTACATCTTCATCTCCACGTGTCTGCAAATCCCTACACATCTGGAAACATCGCCAGCAGGGACTCGGCACCGGGGATTATTGTGGCGTCAGGTGGGTGACAGGGAGACTGCTCTATCTGTTGGTTTCCCGCTTACATTATTTATGATTTATGTTTATTTTAAACCAGCATCTCCGGGTCAGAGGGCAGAATCAAACTCCTTTGCAGCATTTTCAATCATTTTCAGTCTCTTTTTTGCTTTATGATAAAGCTGTTATTAGTTTTTACTTACTTTTCACTTGGACTCCTTTGGTCTAAGCCATGACCATAAATATTTATCTAAACTAAATTGTTTATCCAAAATGTAAATTTAAAGTCAGGTTAGAGATCCTGGATGGAATCTGATTCACATTTAATTGCAAATTATAATTAGATGTTCCTCTCAGGCATGAATTCATTACTGTATGGACTGTAGGGTTCTCATCACAGACCGGAGAGAACAGATCTGTTCTGTGTATGTCTATTTCTCCTGCACCTCCTCCTTCAGGGTGCATTCAATTATGTTTTGTTAACTCAAAAGAGACAAAGACCATGAAAATCATTTACTCTGACAAGTAGAAAAGGGGGGATGAGTGCGGGGGAGTGGGCCTGGGGGGGCGTCTCATTGGATTACAGTGGAATCTTGGCAGTGTGTAGCAGTAGTCGCATAAACACATGATCACTGCAGGTATCTGAGAACATGCTGCTGTCGCCTATAAAAAAAGTTATATGTAGTATTGTTTAAAAGCCCTAGGTGGCAGTATTGCCCCTTTTTATTTTTGCATTCTTATTTTTTTTAACAGTTAAAATCCAATATAGAGAACAAGAGGGTCTGAATGAAGCCTCTGTTTTGGTGATATATTTTTTTTATTACTTATTATTATCAGCAGTTGATCTTTTTCTGAGCTAACAGTTTTTTTAATTCGACTAATGTTCTTTTTAAATATTTGCCAAACGAAAAAAAGTATTTATTCAAAAACACATTATAACTAATTACCAACCTTTTTAAAATCATTTTTTACTTTTTGTGAAATTCTCATATCCACTATTGAGTATTGTATATCATTACAATATATAAATAATAATAATAATAATATATTTTTATTTTATCAGAATAGAATTATTTGTTTAGTATGATTGTTTGGTTTTTTTTTCTATTTGGGCTAACCCTAAAGCACATTCTTTTTAAGCATTTACTGTGGTAAATGTTCAGTAAATCTTTGGTTGCTAGATTACAGAATTAGAATCAGGATCAGAATTAGTTAATTGATCCCCTGAGGGAAAATGTTGACATAACAGATGCTCCTACAGGAAAGTAAAAAAAAGAAGTGGTAATTATAATAAAATAGAAATAATTAAATAAAATAGAAAATTAGATAAAAATAGAAAAAATGTGAGAAATCAATAGTAGCAGCAAATAATGAGTTGGTCATGCACCTTCGTACAATCCAATTAGTAAACCTTACTTTAAAAAGTCATGCAAACCAGTTGCACTTTTAAAAAAAGAAGTTGAGAGAACTAGGTGCCTCAGCTGTGGGTACGTGGTAAAATTACAGACATTAATATTGTTGGTAAAATGTTGGAGCCTTTCGGCACAGGAAGCACAGAAAAACAGGTTTGATGCCTGACACCAAGGCAAGCAGTTATCAAACCCTTTACTTTAGGACCGCTTTATCCACTCGTCTGAGGCGTTCCCACATGACAAATACTCTGATCATTGTTGGAAAAGTGTGTTTACCAACAGCAAAACACAGAAACGCCTGCAATAAATATATAGAAAGTGCTAAGCCAGGAGAAACGTCAGCAGTCACCTGTGTACAGGAATCAGACCGCTGGTGTAAATGTTATGCTGAGAGATGAACACAGCCGTACAGATTTATTGGTTCATTTAGGAGTATAGGCAAATGTGGCAGTGCACTGTAGATCTTCTGGGACTTTAAATTACAGCCACAGTCTCCAGCAGGCTGTAGGCTGCGGCCCCTCCCCGCCTGTACCCCGCTGCCTGTCTCTATAGAAATTCTCTCCTCTTGAACATAACTCATTTCCCACTCTTGCATTATGCAGTTTGCCTGTATCCAAAAAAGACTTGTGGTTGTTCATCATGTCTCTGTTCTCTCTGAACCTCTGTCACACCTTCAGGCTCATTTGGCTCAGAGTTGACAGCCGGCAATGTCAGCGTGTACATCACATCAGACGCAGGGAACACATGGCGACAGGTGAGCAAACTTTTTTTTTCGAACTGCACTAAACTGCGTCTGCTGACGAATGATCCCTGCAGCGATCGAAAAGATTCAGTGCTCTGTTAATCCTCTGAAGGGGAATTACTCAGCATTTAACCCGTCCAGAAACAGCAGTGATTAACAACGGACACAGCACTTTTTACCAGCATAGATTTTGGTGCCTGTTTTAACACAACACAGTCTCGACCAGAAATCCTCCAATGACATGACAGGTCCACTACGGAATGGGTTCAGAAACAGTACATGGTTTAGCTTAAGGGGCGGGGTGTGGAATTAGGGCCTTCTGCGTGTGAAGCAAACTCTGAAACCAATGCAAATTAATTCCTTTTCTTAGGGGCAGGTTGTCTATGTTTATAAAAAGTCAAAGGTCATACACGGTGGCCAGACTGAGCACAACAGATGAACTGAGTTCTTAAAAGGTCAAGCCTTTTAAAAAACTGTTTTCAAGATGTAACAAACAAGACAAAACAAATGAGACTGTAGATTCAGTAGACCACTGGTCATCAATCAGACCCACCAAACTGCCCAATCCTGCCCACGTCTGGGTTTCAAAAAAACAAAAAAAACAAAACATCAAATAATAATGTCTGACAAAAATTAGATTTTTATTACATTTTTGAGTGTCCAGACCTCAAGGTGACTGTTCAGAAAATTTTCGGCCCTCGGACAAATATAATCAGTGACCCCTGCAGAACTTTTTATACTCTTTACCACCTGAGAAAACATGGAGCTCTCTGAGTACCACCATGATGACCAACATTTGAATTCGCCTGCTCGTTCCACGTTCAACTTGCAAGTGATCCCATGATTTGTTGCTGCCAGTGAAAAAACACAGTTTGAGAACCACTGATTTAGACAATTTCCAGCGGATTACAATCAGCATTAACCAGTGGGACTCAGGTGGGCTATGGTACAAAGAGGTTGAGGTCAGACCTGGTCAAAATCTGAACCATTTATCACTGTACAAACTGATAAATCCAAACATGCAGCAGCATGAGGTCAAAGTTTGTTTCCACCAAATGTGTTCTGCAGCAGGATGACGACCACAACTACAAAGACTTCGATCGGTGGCTGTTTCTGTCTGTGTCTGTCTTAAACCCATGAGCAGAACACTGGGTAATTCACTTCTTTGGTACAAAGTACTTTCTTGAGTCCTGCACACACACTACTGAGCTGTGTTTTTCTACTTGGTGTACAATCATAGGCAGAGTCGTGTCATCTTAAATGGACATTAATGGAAAACCCTGCATGTGAACAGGCTGGTAATACAAACCACCGCTGCTCCATCATTTCCTGCACTCAGTGGTTGTAGCATTTTTAGCCTTTAGAGCTGTAGGAGCTCATTCTTCCGAGTGTCATGAAGGCAGCAGGAGTCGGCTGGCCGTGTTTCTTTTCTTTTGTCCATTCCTGAATCAACTAAATTGTTTTTTTTTTCATTCCTTTTGTTTGTTTTGTTTTTTTATGCTAATATTTTCTGCAAAATTAAATATAATTAGGCTGTTGACAAAGAGTTAATTGTGTAATTAACAATTATTCGAAGACTGTGAAGTAGACCCATGCTTAGTTAAACACTCCAGTGGTGTTTCACTCCACCAGCCCCTCTGGGATCAACGCCTCTTGTCCAATCAAATTACTTAGTCAAAGCCAACCATTGTTTAAAAAGTAGATTAACACATTATTTCTATTTTCTAAGACTAAACATGTTGTTCGTAACCAGCAGGAAGTAGTGATGCACTTCCTGGGCCTAATGAAGTGAGATAATTAATGCAATCTAAGTGACTTAATTGAACCTCGCACTCAAGTCGTTGCCTGTAAATAGACCCCACTTTGTTTTCATTAGAGGAGTCAGCTGAGGACAGAGGGAGTGAAGGATCCAGGTGAGGAGAGGGAGGGTCTGGGGTCTGGATGTAAATGAACACAAATTTGGAAAATAACACCGTCCTGTGGTCCCAGTACTCTGCTCCCAGCTGTGGTAGTGATTTGATTGGATTATCCCATCAAAGCTACTGATACTGATTACATTTTTCTTTTATTTAAAAAAAAATCAGCATAATTTTACACTAGTTGAGTTTTAACAAAATGTGATTTAATTCATTAAACCTTTAATTTAAAAAATATTCAATTAATATTAAGCCTTTTGGGTATGACAAAAAATATGCTAAAACTTTAGCAAAGCTAAGATAGAGTTTTTCTTCTAACTTTTTAACAAATTGTTAATATTATTTACATTCTTATACTTTAAATTATGTTAACTAAAAAAACAAATTTAGTTTTATTCAATCAGTTTTGGATTTTTTTTTTTTTTTTGGCTTACATTTTGTGATATCACATTAGCATGTTTGTTATTTTAGAGCTAAGCTATCAGATTTGACCTTAGCCAAGTTGTATGGTCTCTTCTTCCACCACTGACATCACTCAGTGAGTTCCATTTGTTTTCTTCTGGCTGGAAGAAAAATGAGGTACATTACCACCACCTACTGGGCTGGAGTCTGTGCATCAGCATTACTGGTTCCCTAGAAATTAGGGAACTAAAAATGATGCAGTTAAATTTGTTTATTTTTTGCTTTGTTCTGTTTGCAATTAATGCAACACAGCACCAATACAAACTAAACCACCATTTTATCCAAAGTGATACAGTACAATCCAAATTGACACTGAGCATGTAAAAAAAAAAAGTTTGAACTAGTTCCCTTTCCCTTCTGTGTCTTTGCAGATCTTTGATGAGGAGTACGCCGTGCTCTACCTCAACAAGGGAGGTGCCTTAGTGGCAATAAGACACACTCCGCTTCCCATTCGACACCTGTGGTGAGTCATTATGAAGGAGACGCAATTTGTCACAGCATGACTAGCTCCCCCCGGAGGAAGCCTCAAGTCCTATAAGTTAGTCAGACAAAGGGGGGAATGAGTGCCTCCTATGCCTGAGCGGCTGACAAACATTACTCAGGAGCTGTGGAATAATTGTGCTGTGACGACTATCGTTCCGTTTCACCCCGATGGAGGTTGTAATGAGAGGAGCTACTACAGCACATCAGCCCTGCAATGAATATGAAAGAGAGATGCTAAACGCCACTCAGGGTCATTAGCTTGTACACACGGTCGATGGGTGGGGGCATCGAGGTGGGGTAGGATTAGTGCTGTTCCCCGGTGCAATGGTTGTTTGTGTTTTCCCAGGTTGAGCCTTGATGAAGGACGACAGTGGAACAAGTACAGCTTCACAAACACGCCCCTGTTTGTCGACGGCGTGCTCGGCGAACCGGGCGACGAGACTCTCATTATGACGTAAGTGACAAAGTGTGAACTTTTGACCTTGCAATTAATGGAAACGTGTATGGGTGTGTAGGGGATTGTTCCTGGTATAACTATATCCACGGGAACATTGTTGTACACGATACTACTGTTGTGGGGACATTTTGTCCTTGAGGGGACAGTTTGTCCTTGAGGGGACACTTTGCAGGTCTCCACAGGATGAGAGAGTGTTCCTTGGTCAAACATTTAGTTTGGAGTTAGGATCAGAATTAGAATGAGAATTAGAATTATCTTTCATTTTGTTTTCTCACGTTTATTGACCGCACCTCGACTGTTTGATTGTGCGAATATTTTCTTCCAAGAAACCAGATGGTTTGTGAGAGTTTTGACTCCTGTAAGTGAGGAGGTCGTGCGAATGACGAGTTTTTCCAGAGCAAAACTGGTGCATTCTTACATAAGAGAAAAAATTTATTTAACGGTGCTGCAGGCTGTGTCTCATCCCACCTTCATACTGTCTGGTTTATCTTTCATGTGGAATAAGAAGAGAATTTTCTTCAGGTGCATCCCATACCAGAAGTGTGTCTGACAGCTGATGACTTCACTGAACTTCACTGAAAAAAAAAAAAAAAAAAAAGGAAAGGCAGAGAAATTTGACATGAAACTTTGTTCTGCAAAGTTTAAACAGAAAAAAAAGTGGAACAAGCATGAAGGTGTTTTTTTAATGTTCTGAGCGAACAGATTTACACAGGCTTAATTTATGTGAAAGCCTTAGAGCTGAGGAGTGTGTGCATGGATGTGTGACTGTTTGACCCAGCAGTATGTGCAGTGATTCACTGCCATGTATGTCATGTCATAATAAATAATAGTTTGAGTGACAGGCACATTGACAGCCCCACTGATGGTGGCGTTGGTCGGACGGAGTGGGGGTGGGGTGGGGGGGTGTACAGACGCTCAGAAACGGTTGAGTGAGGAGGTGGACAGAGGGACAGAGCACGGATGACGCTGTCATGCCTGCGTAGCAGAGCGTTCACGTCCACTCAGCTGGCAGACACACCATTAGTTTTCATGAGACCATCATGCAGTGTTTTCTTATCAATTTGTACTGATTTTTACAGTAAGTGCCTGTCACGCCCTGCTGCCTCTGCAGCTAATTGACAGATTGATTGTGATAAATACGCTGTGGTTAGAATGGTGGTGTGTGTGTGAGCGTGCATTGAACACAACCACTCCATTTAGCTGGAGACTGAATATGAATCTGTTTAGTCTGGTAACCTTGGACTTTCTCTGACTCTTGCTAAAATAGGAAAAAAAAATTATGGATGTTGTTTCTTATTAGAGGAATCATTTCATAGAATAATGTTTTTCTGTCAGAACATCCAATTGTAAAAAATAAAAAAAAGCGTGATTGACAAGAGGTTTTTTTTTATAAAAGCAGTTGTTCTTGTTGTAATTGTTTTTACTAGTACACATTTCAGGAAGGGACAAGGGAACCCTCTGTTAGAGACCTATGTTAGTGGAAACATGGAAGAACAATACTAATACAGTACAGTATAAATAAATAAAATTAGCTTTTAACTCTGTATACATATATATATATATATACAGTTCTACATATATAACTATATATACAGAATTTTGAAAAAAATACACTTCATGTTCAGAATATTTTTTGAAAAATTCAATTTCACTAAATATGAATAAATAATCATTTATATCTAATACACTTTTGTTTGCATGGAAACAAAGGCAAATGCATGGACTTGTTATTTATAGTTAATTATTATTATGATTACACTGGTGATGATTGTACTGGTCCGCCCCACGACAGCTAATTAGGTTGCATGTGGCCCGTGAACCAGAATGAGTTTGACCCCCCTGCTCTACAGCATCATAGTCATAGCTTTGCCCATACTTTTGTTCTGTACAGTGAACAGGAACTGGAGCACATTAGCTTTTGACCAAACTCTGAACAACTGCATGTGTGCAACCGTGTCACTGAGCCACTGTTCTACACCTGTCAGTCTGTAGTCTTCAGTATTTTCTTTATTTTTATAAGAGTTGACAAAACTGCCTCATTATCATCATTATCATGACAACAGCAGCAGCACTACAACCTCATTATCATGACAACAGCAGCAGCACTCAGTTTGAACCCAGTATGGGTAGAAGTCGGAAGACCACAGTGTTCCACACTGTCACCAGCTGAGATGAGCAACTGAGACAGATGAGAACCAATGGCTGACCTCTGTCAGCAGCCTGGATATGACACAGAGGTTCAGAGTTCATCTTTATGAAGATCAGACCACACAGCACTGGACTGTACTTTACTGGACTGGACTGAACTAAACTGGACTGGACCAGACTGGACTGTACTGCACTGGACTGTACTGCACTGTGCTGTACTGAACTGTACTTGACTGTACTGTACTTGACTGTACTGAACTGGACTGGACTGGACATGAACTGAACTCATGCAGGATTTTTAATATTGTGTGTGAGAATGAATCATGTGTGCTGCTAAGGTCTTTAATTAATATTTTCGGACGTTGTATACTGGTGTTCATTACTCGTCCATATTACATTTTAATTGCTTTTAATAATGAACCCATTCTGGGTGGACAGTTGTAGTTTCTGTTAACAAGAGGAATATTTATGAGAGGATAGATCTGCTCACACACTGATTTTTTTTAATCTTCTTAGTCAAGTGGAACAAATAGGGAAAAACTCGTCCTTATTGAATCCCTCAGGCATTGCTAATGGATCGTGGAGCTCTACATTCCAAATCATGTTCATCTTCTCTCTGCTGTGGTCTGCTCTTTCTCCGTTTTCAGAAAACATTATTAACTGTCCTAAAGTACAAGCTTTTTCTCCAAACTACCTTGTTGCATTAGTCAAAACATAAAGTCCAAAATAATATGAACTGTGGCAACTGTCGCCCCCTTCTGTTTAAATCACACATTTACTTTTTCTTTCTAAACTGATTATAGGGTTTTTTCATAGTGGAATTATTATCTTAGTGTCTCTCATAAAAAGAGTGAGCTGCTCCATAGAAGGGGTCACCTTCATGATGCTCCAGATATTAATACAAGACAGATGTGAACTTCAGACATGGGTGATTTGTCTACACACACACACACACACACACATCCTGTTGGTTTGAAGACACATTAGAGGATCATGTTTCTGTCTCTCCATCATTGGATCCTCCAGGGCAGGTCTACTGATGCTCCTCTAGACCATCCCAGAGGCTGGAGAGAAACTTCTGGTCAAACACAATCTGAAAGATTATATATGTTGTTGTTTTACGTCCTGTGGTTCTTAAGGTACAGTCATAATGAGCAGTTTTAAAAGCAGTAGCAAACTGTGTTAAGTGGAAGAAAGGGTCTGAATGTGTCGTTTTCTTAAAGGTTTCCCGTGAACAAACCTCCTGAGTTTGTTTATCACTGGTCATGTAGGAAGAAGTCCAGTTTCCTTCATCATGTTGGTTTTCCTTACCGTCTTCTTCATCGTTCTCATTCACCTGCAGGATATTTGGCCACGTCAGTCATCGCTCAGAGTGGCAGCTGGTGAAAATCGACTTCAGGTCCATCTTCAACAGGAGGTGCACAGATGCAGATTATCAGACCTGGCACCTGCACGACCAGGTAGAGTCCAACACAGCAGATGGGTCTGTTGAGTTGAATTTTCCGAGCATACCACTAGAGAGCACTCGTGTACCACTGGTGGTACCCACACCACAGTTTGAGAACCACTGTTCTAAACAAATGAAATCAACTGCATGTTGTATGGCGTCAGAAGACTGTAATTAGACACTGAGACTTCTGATGACTACCCAACACACCCATTCCCAGCCTGGTCTGGTCCGACTCTGAGTCACAGATTAGAGACTGTTCCTTTATTCACGGTTCAGTCCTGTAAGTCCATTTAGACTCCACATATGCTCAGAACAGGCTAATGATTTAGACATACATTCACAGAAACAGAATATATATATATATATATATATCCTCCAATATGTATATATAACTGTCTAAGGACACAGGCAGTTTTTAGCGTCTCACTACTGACACCTAATGCACGAAGGCAGAACTTTCACTGCTCATCGTTTAAATTTTGTCCTGGAACTGATTTATTTCAGCTCCCTGTCAGTGGCCAGCAAAAATAAAAACGTTGGTAATTACAGTAATACTTTTTAATTTATATAATACCAGTGTCATTTCCAGAACACTTTTACTGACTAAATACTTTTACTTTAATATACTGTATAGATTTTTCAATTACTGTATAGAGTTCTGGAGCAATAATTAGAATACTGACTAAAATGAAATCATCGGTCAGTTGACATGGAGGGCAGTAGAGGTAAATCATCATGAAAACTTTTTTTTTCAATTCAAAGTATTACCTAATGTTGAAGTATGGATTTGAATGTTTCACTATACACATTTCTCATATACGGTATATATATGTGAGTGTGTGTGTATGTGCGTGTATATATACTGTATATATGCACACATATGTTTGCTTCAAACTTTTTTCATTTTGTAAATAATTCATTGATTGTAAGAACTCAATATTTTTAGTATCTCCCAGCTTCTTTAAACTCACATTTCTGACTTTTTATCCTTACATTTAAGTTTTAGGAGGAAGTTTTCTAAAAGTTGTATGTTTTAAATTTACTGCATGCAACAAGAAGACAAGAACCTCAGTTACTGTTACTTGTTTAGACTTACAGTAAAGTCAAGTCGACTGAAGCTTGTATTGACACAACTCCCCAAATAAAACCCCACTGCAGCAGCAGTAGCATTAGCATTAGCTCCCATTCCCCAGTGTGACACTTGTGAGGCACAGTTGTTGTGTTTAGCACAGCAGTCTACAGAACCAGGCCCACGCAGAGCTGCGAGAGGAACCACTGCAGAGCTGCTCTCCACAAACAGTGGGGTCCACACACGGCTGGATGCATCGTGTGAATTATTTATGGCACAGAGTGGAACAAAAGCTGCTCCTTTTGCAAAAAAAGAAAGATAAAAAACAGAACTTTCTTTTTCTTTCTCTTCTGAATCTGGGCCCACAGGGTGAACCCTGCCTCATGGGATTGAAGAGAATCTACCGGAAACTCAAGTCGCTCTCCAGGTGCGTCATGGGAAGCATGTACGCTGCGTCAATGACTTCAGGGCCCTGTGAGTGCAGTGAGGCTGACTTTGAATGGTGAGTGAACTTCTTACTTTGTCTTACACTCTTTACACAGAGTTCTATTGAAATCATCTCTAAAGTATCATTGAAGTCTGGTTGGTTCTATCATAACGTTCTGTTTGGAGTGGCCATCAGAGGGTATAACCTACAGAAGTAAAAAGAAAGAAATATGCTTAAAATACCATTACATGTACAGTGCAACACAAAACCTTTTTGACAGGAGAGCTCAACTCAAATAATTTAATGCAATAAAATAGATCTCACTGATTGGTCGACAGTAATAGAGGAAATTATTTAGAATTTATACATTTTCCCAAGTGACTTTTATGTGAAAATATGTTCTTTATATATATATATATATATATATATATATATATATATATGTCTTGAACCATAGAACACATAAACTCCTATGATCATTGGATTCTCAAGTGTCCAATGGTGTGTATGGTTTGTCCCTGTTATCAAGCCGCTCTACTCCTCAAGCTGGCATGTAGCTAGCGTGTAGCTAGCTAGTGTAAAATGGACTGGGTTTTGACAGGAAATAGGCGGTAGGAGCACACCAACAGTTATTCAGAGAGCGTATCCTGTGCTTAAAACATGGTCATTGATAATATTCAAATGTAACAATTATGAAATGGTTGATAAAAGTCAGAAAACGTTTTTTGCAGCATTGTCTGTGAGTCTGTAAAGGACATCCCGCCCCAAAAGCTAATGCTATTTGCTGGGCCTATGCATGGAGAAGTTTGGGAAGCCCTGCTCTAATAAATGTACCTTTTACTAAGTTGTGTGTGATCAAGATCTTTTCGAACAAACTGTATTTTAGTAAAAATGACGCTTTGACTCTTTATTCTCTCTGGTGCAGAAACAAAAGTATGTTCACGTCTCTTGGCATCCTCTCCTGTATTAACTCCAAGGTTTCTTTTTATTTCCCTCCCTCTTCTCTCTGTTGCTTGGTTCCCCTGTCGTCAGGTCTCTAGAGTCTTAGTCCTTGGAATCAGCAGCATCACAAGCATAAATCAGCAGAGCTAATAGCTTTCATTAACAATCACAACAGTTCTGCATCTGTGTGCATGTCTCACTAATTGGGCCAATTTGTCCCAATCATTTTGGGGACACTGTGCTGCTCTGCCTTTTTTAATTTGTAGGACAAACAACTTGTGGGATGCGTTTCAAAAGGAAGAAAAAAAATATGGAGCCTGGAGCAGTGGATGTACCTCAGCTGCAGTCATTAGTAAAAGCAGGTTATGTTAATGTTTAATCCTCTCAGCTACGTTTCATCATCAAACATGTCCAATCACCTCTGAGTATTCTGTTATCTCCTGATGGTTTTCCCACCTCAGACTCAGAGCCACGTGTGAAGGAGCTCCCGGCTCTTCCCTCCAAATTGATTTTTAATTCCTGACCAACAAAGCCTCGGGAACTTTTGCATCAGACGGCTCCGCTCGTTCCACATTTGTGGTTCCTGATTGAACAACTGTTTCTCTGTCTGTCTGCTTCCATCATTACAGCGATTATGGCTTCGAGAGACGGACCGACGGCAAGTGCACCCCCGCCTTCTGGTTCCATCCGTCATCCATGTCCAGGAGTTGCACCACAGGAATGACTTTCCTCAACCGCACTGGGTAAACACCGACCTGGGGCTAAAGTGGAGTCCAATCAGTCTCAGTAATCGGACTCTAATGGATAGTGTGGTCCAGTTCAATAAGTGTGGTTTAGTTAGGCTGATTACCGTAATTCGTGGAACTAAAGCTCTACTTTCTTTGTTTTTGATTTTCTGTTTCTTCATCATTGTTGCAGTGTTCACCAGAACAAAATGTCGTCTCTTCAGCAAGTAGCAGGAAGTAGCAAAAACAATAGAATAAAAAAAAATGATGTCAAATAGAAATATTGTATAGCAGTGTATTAGTAATTGGAATATACTACAGTACCACACACCCTACGTCCACAATGCTGCTTTTTTATATATAATTTATATTTATAATGTGCTGAGCAGCAGATCGATAGATAATAAACCAGGGCTATCATTTTCAAAAAGCAAGTGCTCCTTTATTACAAAATATATGGTTTGACTTTTCTGTTTAGGATATACAGGTTCATACTTTATGCTCTAAATATTCCTTTGAAAAGTAAGCACTCACAATTTACAAGATCTGAAAATAAGGTGCTGCTTTATTACTGTGAATTATGGTAATCCAAAAACAGTACTGAAGCAGCTGTAGTTGCAGTGTTAAATCAGCAGGGGTGACTTGAGCTACTTGATTTTACTGAGACTGAAGCACTGAAACGTCACCCTTATTAATGTGAAGGTTGTTTGATTTGTGGTTTTTTGAAGTAATAATTGCCATATAAATAATTTGTGCATCTTTCATTTATTTCACAGCCACCACACACCTGTCACTGACCGGTTCCTGTGAAAACATAGATAGATGATGTTTATAGAAATGAACAGATGATTCATCCATCATCCCTGTGCTGTTGGTGATAAAACATTCACAGGTGATGAATGTGATGAATGAGCCACAGCTGTGTGATACAGTCAACATGTGAGAGCGGTTTGAACTCTCGTACAGAGACACAGTACAGTCACGTGGCGTTTTCCACCAGTGTTTAATCAGAGTCAGGTTCTGCTCTGTTCCACTTGCAGAGGCGCTTCACTGTCATCATTCGACTTTGTGTCTGTAAATAAGCGTCAATCCACCTTTCTCTCTCTCTCTCTGTCTTTTCCACCTGCAGCTACAGGAAAGTTGTGTCCAATAACTGCACAGCAGGGGTCAGTGTGGAGTACACAGCCAGGAGGCAGAAGTGTCCCATCCAAGCACCCCGTGGTCTCTACCTGGTCACCAGTGAGGGCGCTCTGACCGCCACGTTAGGCAGCAATGTCACCTTCCTAGTTTTCCTGGAGGAGGTTTGACTTTTGAACATCATTTTATTCACTACGGTTCTAGAAAAAAAAATGTAATTGCAGGGAATATATTAATTTTTACAACAGTTTGCATTACATTACTCAAGACATGCTGTACGTTTTAAGCAAACATCCATCCATCCATCCATCCATTGAAGGGGGGGGGTCAGGAGTAGATAGATGGAGCGTTTGTTTGAACTAAGATAAATGACATGTTAAAATAAAATGCTAAAATGTTTTTATCATTTTCTACACCATCTAATGGGGAAATGTGGGTACAGCAGGGAAAAGGCAGAAGTATAATGATAATATAAATAAATTATACAATTGTGAAAAGTTTGGCCAGATTAAAAAGCTGAACGGGCTGCATCCAGCCCCTGGGCCTTAGTTTGCCCATGCCTGTCCTATGGGAACCTAAACTGAAAACAAATATTTAGATATACACCTGCTTTCTTTACCTGTTGTGGTTAAATACCTTGCATTATTTCTGTCTGAGCACTGGAAGGTTCCATTGACAACTTGCTAATTTTCTAACAGCAAACAACATGGCAGGGGACAAACAAACTTTACTTGTTAACTAATTTTGTTTTTTAGATTTTAAAGCTAATAATTAAAAAATGTAAAAAACAAAAAATAAAACAAACCTGCGGTGATGCTGAAAGTTTTTCTTGTGCACAGGGAGACAGCGCCAGGACGAGCATCACGCTGGACTTTGGGGACGGTCACGCTCTGACCTACTCTAATGTGAGCTCCATTGAGGACGGAATCAAACACATCTACAAAACTGTGGGGATCTACAGAGTGACCGCCACTGGGGAGAACAGTCTGGGCTCGGAGACGGCCACGCTCTACCTGCACGTAACATGTGAGAGGATTACTGCAGTTTTTACCTTCACAAACGTACATTTTGTCTGGAGTGCACCATCTAGTGGTTCAACTGAAAATGTGGGTAATTAAATAAAAAGCTGAAATAATTTACAATAATTTATAGTTATGTTGCAATGTTTGACCAAATTAAAAAGCCCAATTGACCCAATTCAGCCCACGGGCCATAGTTTGCTGCACTCTATATCATCTACCTTCAAAATTACATTTTACTCTCAAAAAGAGAGCTTCTTTGAAGTGTTTACTTGTTTAGCATTAGTAAAAAAAAAAAATTTATTCCGAAAAAAAAAAACGTTAGTTCATTTTCAGAGTTTTTTTTGCCACATCAACCAACATAAAATTGCTTTGTACATTTTTTATACCGCCTAAAAAAACATTATACGCGGAGCTCAAATAAATGCTAGCAGGCTAAAACAAATCCAACTAAACTTTCGCCCCAGTCAGCATCTCCAGCACCGCTGTAATCACCCACAGTGCTTTGCAGTCCTGACCACCCCCGGGTGTATTTACTGCGGTGACAGATGCAACAGTCCTGACTTATTGATCAGGGAGTATCGTTGCCCCCTCCAATCTGTCAATCCTCGGTGCCAACCGTACCAATAGAGCCACCGCCGGCTCAGATGTGCCAGTAATGAAAAATAGCACACAGATGGCAGCAGTGCTCCCAGAGCTGGAGGGAAGTCTCAACAAACTCTGCAAATCCTCCCCTGCAGTCACTGCAGCAACATGTGAACAAACTCTCCCTGCGTTCTCTCCTCAGGTGAAACATAAACGTCATCGCTCAGTGCGGTGATGTCACCGTGTGATGGTTAACCCCTGTGTTTCTGAGCAGGTCAGCTGGAGCACATCCATCTCTCCGCCCCCTTTGTGGCCGTGAGGAACAAGGAGGTGAACCTGACTGCTGTTCTGTGGCCCAGCCAAGTGGGAACAGTCACCTACATCTGGTGGATCGGAAATAACACAGAGGTACGGCACACTCAGGGCTTCGCTTCTCTGCCGCCTGCTGGATGTTAAGTAGGTTTCTGGAACTGTTTTTGTGTGGAGCTAAATTTGAGCCCAGGTTTCAGAACCAGAAGGTGGTCTCGTTAATCAGGTTTAATGAAACCTGCGGGCCGCTCCGACTGTTACAGCTACAGCCTTAATTACTGAGCAGAGTGTCCTCCCGTGTGCTCCCCCCAGTGTCCACTGGTTAATCAAACTGGAGTGTTCCACATTAACGTGGGAACACCTGAGTCCAACACTGCAACACAACCAAAGACGAATTGGCATCTGTTTATACGTTCACAGCTGCTGCCAAAATACACTAAAAATAAACGTCCCTCACTGAACACTGGGGGTCGCTCAATACCAACTTATAGGCCTGGTACTGTAAGTAACTGATATTGATGCTTTGGTCCTCTTTTATGTATTTCATGCAGTTTTTATGAATTTTACTTTATTTTTTATATTCTTTAAAAAGCAGAGTTGTAAACAACATCATTAATAATAATAATAACAATGATGATGATGATGATGATGATGATGATGATGATGATGATGATGATGATGATGATGATGATGATGATGATGATAACATCATCAGGAGAAAATGTTCAGTGTAGGTTAGACATGATCAGTCTGTGGAGTCTAAACATCCACAGCTGCTGCTGTTCCACTGGACACAAGTTCCACAAGTTTTTTTTTTCTTCCTTTTCGTCTTCTCTTCTTCTTCGCCTTCACACCTCTGACGTGATAACAGCTCCAGACTAATCCACTGTCACTCAGGTTCTAGCCACTGTTTACATGACACCATGCAGCAGCAGCAGCCTCTCTGCGTCCCAGTGTTGCCCAAAGTAATATAGTCGGATCAAGACCAGTCTGATTCCATCTATAAACTGATCCAAAAACTCTGGCTCAGAGCTGCCCCTAGTGAGCACATCACACTTAAATTTCAGAAGAGTTCTGTCATACTAAAATAACTGGTGGAATTTTACCACATAGTTGTAGAATCTGATTTGTCTATCTAAATATTTAAAGATCACGTTTGTAACCAGGGGATTCCAGGATCAGGTCAGTCCCCACTGTCAGATTAGCGTACTCTACTCCAGTGCAGCTGAATTAGAAACCTTTTCATTCTCATCACAGTCTCACAACTTCACCAAACAACTGCAACGTGAGCGCAGACCCCTGGAGAAAAGTAACTCCACAGTCTTCAGGTCCTCGCTGTTTGTTCAGCAACCAACAGGTGCAATTTTGCACTTTTGGGACAGCCGCCGCGGCCGGTAATAAACCATAGAAGAATTAGCATTTGTAGATGTGTGAGACCAAAGGTGAGGTGAGTAATGACAGGACGTCTCTGCTGCTGCCGCCCTGGGAACTGTCTGCAGGCTGTGATAACTGTTTGCAGCTCAGAGGACACCATGCTGCAAAGCAATATTTGTGCACCCATGCATGCAAGCGCACGCACGTGTGTGTGTGTGTTTGGCGGTGTGCCAAAAGGCTGACACTTCTGTAGTGTAAATAACAGCAATGCAAGATGTTAAGCAGCGTTCTCTGGGGACGCCCAGACTCTAGGTCTCTCTGTCTCCATCTCCCTCACCTCCGTATTCTTCCTGTCCCTCTCTCTTTCCCAGCAGCCACTAATCACCCTGGAGGGGAGTGTAGCGTGCACGTTCTCCCGGGAAGGCATCAGTAGTGTCACGGTGCAAGTGTCCGCGGGGAAAACGATTCTGCAGGACAGAAAAACCATCGCTGTCCACGGTGAGCAGCAGTCGCTGTGGCTCCGTCTCCGGTGGGATTGTGGAGCTGTGTAAATACACGGAAGAGACGAGTCACGACTGGGCCTTCTCTATCACACACACACACACATACAGTATATACAGTGTATATATAAATATATATATATATATATATATATTTACAGTATCCTGTGTACATCTTTACTTGGGGATGAATTCACCTGAGGTTCTTCATGTCTTTCACATCACTAACTCCCATGTGTTGTTGTAAAGGTCAACACTTTACAAATGAACTCTGTTACTAAAGGTCCAGTCCGTGACATTTAAAACAATTTACTGCCTGGAATATCGTAGCCGTAAGTTTGTCTTATACAAGTTTAATTGATATAAAATCAAAATTTTAAAGAAATGTGAGGATATTTACACTGTCGGTGAGACAAAGTCCCTCTAGAGCACGCATGGACAAACTAAGGCCCGGGGGCCGAATGCGGCCTGTTCAGCTTCTTAATCGGGCCCGCCAAACGTTTCCAAATTATATAATTATTTATATTATCATTAGACTTCTGTCTTTTTTCTGCAGTACCTTTGTTTCTCCAATAGATGGTGTAGAAAATGATGAAAGCATTTTAGAATTTTAGCTTTTATACATGACTTTAACATCTCATTTATCACAAACGCTCCGTTTATTTGCTCCTCACCCCGCCACCCCATTCAATTTTCGGATCATTGTGGCCCGCGAGGCTCCGGAGTATATATGTTGTGTGCGTTAAATAACCTCGCTTTTTAAATTACACATTAGTTCATTTTTTCAGTATGAAAACATTAATAGAGAGAATTAACCACATTTCTGTCTCTGTCATGCTGCTCTGTGATAGGCTCAGAGCAGTCAGCGCCTCAACGCTTTCAAACTTCAAAAAGTCCAAATAAGCCTTTAACATTTGCTTTGATGAGATCTGAGATGATGTAAAAGTCAGACATGGGCACGATGATGTAACGGCTCTGACAGAAACAGATTTATGGCGGAGGCTGAATCTGGAGTGTGAATGATGTGTTTTGTGACAGATGAAAACTCACATCATCTCTCTCATGTTTACCTCCCTGCAGAATATTTCAAATCTCATCTGCTGGCCTTTTCATCAAACCTGGACGACCACAACCCTGATGTGGCGGAGTGGAGGCTGGACGTGAGCCGAGTCATCAAGAGCTCTCTGATCCAGGTACGGCTCTCCTGGGTCTGTTGGGGGAAACGGTGTCTTTGCCTCAGATAAATGAGGCGCTCACACAGACCTGTGTGTGCATCTTGACCTCCCTGAGGCTCCCACACATCAATCTGACATTTATTGATGACGAATGTCAAAGCAAAAGGGGGACGAAGGAAAGAAAAATATAGAGTGGACGTTCAGGACGACGACCGTCTCCTGCACGCAGAGCCTGAGTTCAGCGACACAAGCTAATCACATGGGAGTGGACAGAACAGTTTAATATCGTCAACGTGTCTGCGTATTAACATTAGGCTTAGCGCCAAGAGCTCTGCGACACACACACATTTAAACATAACTCTTTATTATTCTTACTTTATTCTGCACAACACTGCCCCCATGATTTCCAGTGGTACTGCTTCGTTTCGCGAATGAGTTGGAGAACAAATCTGAAGGCTCTCAGACAATGATTTCTCTTTTTTTAGCATCAATCCCGTCCTCTCAGAAATGAATCAACTGCACTCTTGCATCATACAATATTTTCACGTTGTTTGACACACAAGCTCACAGCCAGCTCCGTCGACTGTCAGTCTAACTGTCAGCTGTGTTGTTTTATTATTGACATCCATCACAAACCACAACCACCTGCCTGAGAGGCAGAGTTTGAGGTAAAAGTGTGAGGAAAGTTGAAGCTGATAAATGGACCTGATGAGTGAAAACATCGTTCACATTAAGCTCAGACTTGAAATACCGCTGTGATAATTAAACTCTTCATGGAACAATTCACACACACACACACACACACATATATATATATATGTATAAATATATATGGTCTTCAGTAACTGCCTAATAGATACAAATATTGCGATAAATATTCAGTTCATTAATCTTCCAGGGTTCCAGGTCCCACACATGTCTCCAGTTCTCAGACTTCTCCTTTTACTCTGGTTTCTTCTTGTTTCCCTGCAGGCCACAGGGGTCAGAGAAGACCAGCTCCTGGTCACTGTTCTCCCAGGTCTGCCAACCACGGCAGAGTTTTTCCTCCTGCCTGACAAACGGTTAAAGGATGGGAATCTAGAGCAGGTACCAAAACCCTGGCTGATGATGACACAGACGTCTCTCAGTCCGTGTCTGTGTCTGTGTGAGAGTCAGTGACTGCGTCAGTTCTTTATACTCTTATTCACCCATCTCACCAGTTTGCTTCACTGTCTCGCTGCCTTTTTCTGGCACGACTGTGAACATACATTCCTGTTTCCTCCAGCAGATGGCAGCATAGATCTACCGACTTATAGTCTGTTTTTTTTTCTTCGTTTTTTAACCATTCTTCTATGGGGCTAATTCTAGAACACGCCTGAGGAACCTCTGCAATGGTCTCATCAATAAGAGCTGACATGTATTAACAAGTTATCAGGGGGAATGACTTTTTAAACTCCACACATCCTCCCTGCAGAACACTGAGGTGGGCTGGGAGGGGCGAAACTGGGGGAGCGCAGGGGTGAGGTGGAGGGTAGGGGGGGGGAGAGCAGAATGAAGAAGGTAAAGTTGTTCTGGTTGATGATTTCACCTAATCACTGCAGCTCCACCGTGGACCAAATTAGCTCCAAGCTTCATGGGAGAAAGAGAGGGGGAAGAAAGAAAAAGGAGGACGGGGGGCAGAGAGAGAGGGGGGAAGTAGAGTGAGATTAAGATGAGGAAGGTGGGGAGAAATGAAGGGGAGAGAAGGGGATGGAGGAAAATGGTTGAACTTCCTGTCTGCTCCACACAGTCTCTGTGTTTACTTTATTATTCACCTCACCTTTATCCACATAGTTCTGTACTTCCAGACCAACATGACAAGTCGTGCTTATTAGAATAATCATCTTATTTTACACCACATCTCCCAGCCTGAGGATGCAGACTGGGTCTATTATTAGCCAGTCTTGTTTAGCTTTAGCTTCACCAAGTCACAAAAGATCTTCCAAAAGCAGCAACAACTGTGTGGTAGTAGAGTCATCGCTGGGTGTGGAATTAAGCATATAGGCCACGCCCACCACAGAGGCCACGCTGTTAATTTAACAAACCAGGTCATTAAGATAAATGAAGCCTGAAACAGAAACAATTCTTATCTAATGATTCTCTTCACACCTGTGTGTGCGTGCCTGTGTGTTTGTGTGTGCGCAGATCACACTAAGACTTCTAGGATTGTTTACAATCACTTCACTTCTCTCTGGGATTTGAGCCCAAGGATAGAGATTCATAATTAAGGTGAATGAATGGAATAATCACCAGAGGGGTAGAAGAAGTGGACGAGAGAGAATGAGATTGGATTGAAGATTTCTATAGTTTACCTTCAGGTCAGAGTAATCAGCCTGATTTATTCTCTCTGACTTCAGAGAGTGAAAGGTGGCGAGGAGTGGGGGAGGAGGAGGGGGGTAAACAAGAAGAGTGTTGGTTGGGTGCTAAAAAAAATGTCAGTATTCTCTTCTTTGATGAGTAACATGCAGAAAGAATGGAATAACAATTTCATCTGACCAAAAATGCCATGCTAAATTTAGGAATTTTCTAAAAAATTCATTAAAATATCTTTTCTAAAATTCTCAAAATGCTTTAACTTGATGAAAAGATAGAGATAATAGCAGATAATAAAGAAATTGAGAAGGAAATGTAAAAAAGATTCAAATTCTTTCAACGTCTGACCAAAAATGACATGGTAAATTAGGATTTTGCCCACAGATTTGCCCACTCATTCGATGAGAAACATGAAGACAAGATGAAATCTTGAAAACATTTTTGCCAAAATATTTCATCATTATTTCTCAACATCTGACCAAAAATGAAATATTAAAATTTTCTGAAAGATTTAGAACACTTTTTTTATTTAGTTCATGCTAATGTGGACTGGATTGCTTCAGTGACCAAATTCTGCATGCTCATAATACTGTACATGCGGGGCAATTGTGTCACTTCTTGAGGAAGACGTTGTTGCAGTCCGTTGAGATGGTTCCCCTGACGTAGACTGTGTTTTAACTTTCGCCCGTTGAGAGACACCATCCATTTAGCGACTAACAGATCATAGGTTTTAATGTGGTGTGAATGGCTGTCTCTCTGTGTCTGTAAACATGAACCGAAGAACTGTCCAGGGTTTAACCCCTCCCTCACCTGATGCCCTGCCCCCCTCACACCGCCATGAAAAGGATAACATAGTAGAAGATGAATGAGTTTTAGTTTTGATTTCACTGCGTAGTTCTTGGGTTGTTTTTTTTTTTTTTTACAACGCCCCCATGTGTGTTTGAACAGCCCCGTACCTTCAAGGGCAGCTGATGTTCCGTACTGTATTCTCCTCCAGTCTGATAAATTGGTCTGTTCGCTGCAGAGATTGATCAGGAGTCTGTGATGTCAGGCAACACAGAAGCAAAGATGGATGAGACGTGTGTGGTCTGTTGCTGACCTTCCTCTCAGGACTTTCTTCTTCTTCTGTCTCCCCAACAGCTGTCGGAGGTTCTGCTCGGTGCCTTGAATCAAAACCTGGTCCAGTTCACGTTGAGACCAGAGGTCCAAGTGACGGTGTACGCAGCCCACCTGTCAGCAGGTAAACAAAACCAGATGCTCTCTTTGTCCTGAGCTCTGTCCACAGGAGTCTTTGAAATAAAAAATGAAGTAAAGCAGCTTTATTCGAAGTCACAGACGCCACCACCTGATTTAAAGTCTGAAAATCAGCTGTTTTACTGCTTTACTCAGTAGTCAGGAAAACATTTAATAACTTTAAATCCCTGATTTTCCAGATGGACAACAGAGACTATTTTTAATACAATTGCAATAGTAACTGTAACTTAAATCACTGTCAACACTGTGAGTGGAGCTCATGTCCTGTGACCAATGTGCACGAAACCTGAAGTGTCTGCTGCAAAAACATTCATCAGTTTATCAGATGTATCCATGATTTATGATGTCACTGCTCTGCTCAGCCACTGGGCGGCTTAGGTTCTGTAACTTTGTTGCTTCCCGACAACTAATGACCCCAATCCTGTGTCTGATTGGCTCCCCCTGTAGCTACTCATTCAGAGAGTGAGCACCGTTACAAGTATGTGTGCCTCTTCCTAGTGGGGACGCTGCTACTGTCCTAGAGAGACTTATAAGATAAAGAGTAAGAGAAGTCCATACTACTGAACATTAAAACGATTCACCCACCATCCACCAGGTGTCACCCATTCTTTTCCATCGTTTATTGCATGTTTGGACACTGGCAGGCGCAGATGTTCCACTCACAGCCCCTGGTGCTTTTCTCTCTGTCTCTCCCTGTGTCTGTCTCTGCCTGCAGCGCCCCTAGTGGACACCAGCGAGAACCACAGCGGCTCGGCCATGCTCATGCTCCTGTCGGTGGTGGTCGTGGGTTTGGCTGTGTTTGTCATCTACAAATTCAAGAGGTAAAGTGTTGGCCGAATGTCACGTCTGCGCACAGAGTCGTCACCATGTACGTGACGGAGCTGGTGAGAGGTGTCGAGGTTTCTCTGACAGCTGGGTAAACAGAGGTGTCTGCAAGGACGCAGCGGAGGAGGCCTGATAGATGCCTGTCTCAAACAGACACACACACACTCACACACAGTCTGATTCTCTTGGCAGCTCTCCTTCGAAAAAGAAATGTCAGTCAGCTTTCAGACAGTATCGATATGAAGACCTTTGAGCAGCAGAGCGTGACCTTTGAGAAATGTTAAAATATGTCTCCTAACCAAGGTGCAGCATCAGGGAAGAAAAGGTCACAAGGATTCATGAAGATTTAGCGACCGTGTTGGAGAGAATTAACAGACTGTAATCAGATTTAGGGACTGATATGAATCTGTGTATCTGGAGTTAACAGCACAACAGATAAGAAAAGAAGGAACATATATACAGTATATATATATATATATATTGTGTTTATTTGTTAATATACCTTGTAATATTATCACATTATTATAATCTAATAATAATAATTATGGTGATTATCAATAATATTATATAATATAATATTCATTATTACTATTACGTTTGTTATTATGGATGTCCATGATGACATCATCTAGTCTACAGCAGTAAAAACTAGGCTGTCTCCCCCTCACTGACCTCCTCCCACCCCTGTGCGTGTTCTCCTTCTCCTCTGTTCCTTCTCGCTCCCTCTGCCTAACTGTAAGTCTTTCCTCAAGGAAGATCCCAGGCCTCAACGTCTATGCGCAAATGCAGAATGAAAAAGAACAAGAAATGATGAGTCCAGCTGATCCAACGGAGGCCACGCCCAGCTCTCAGCAGGACCTGGTTCACTCTTTGGAGATTCTGGACACAGAGTTGAACTCACGGCCCATTGGTACACACACACACACGCACATACATTCTTGTTTTCTTCTTCTCCATGCTTCCATGCTCATTCACACCAGCGTTTCCTCTTCATCAAAACTCATCCTGTTTTTGTTGTTTTTTTGTTTTTTTTTTCCCATGTTCCTCAGAGATAATGTGGTCGAGTCAGACTCACAACGGCAGATAAACAGAGAGAGGAGGATTGGAAAGTATGTTGGTATTTATTTAGTGAGTTCAACACCTATACCTATGATCAGAATTTTTACATCTGTAGTTCCCACAGAACACTGTAGGTGGCGTGACATTAACAAGACCTCAGACCAACCAGTTTAAGACTTTTTATTAGTGAATTCCTAATAGTGAGACACAGAATTGACCTTCATGATTGACTACAGATTGATTGATGTCTTATTTTTATTTACCACTTTAAGATGTTCAGTCATTTCTCTCTTAATTATGCAAAAAAACTAAAAAAATTAAACCTATGGGATTTGTTTTTATTTCAAAATTATTTAATTCATTTCCACATACAGCTGTATTTTGTGGTGCAGTGATTGTTGTCATGAAAACGACTCATATCATCATAAGTCACTTTGACCATTGATCACAATCTTTTTGAATATCTAACCAACCAATCACACGATAGCTTAAAATATTTTTTAAAGGAGCGCTCATTCTCAATAACATTAAACTGCGTAGTAGTAGTTAAAAAAAATATAGAATGGAAACATCTGGATTGCGGGCCATGAATGTAACCAGGCTGAATCCACTGAATCTGTTCCACCAGGTTAATTGGATTGAATATGCCCCCTGGTGGTCTTGGGTGGCAGTAATGTTATTGTTGAGAATGAGCTATTGATGTTTCAGTTGTTTTAAATAGGGATGTCCGATATTAACTTTTTGCTGATATTCGATATGTCGATCGAATATCGCCTAATTTACCATTCCGATATCAACCGATACTGATATTCAGCCGTTCGCCCCCAAAACTGAAGTTACCGTCACAGGACCCTTCAGTGAAACCCAGACATTGCGTTATCGAGTTTTCATTATCGGAGGAAAAACCGATAAAAATTCTATTACCGGCATTATATATTTATGCTAATATCCGTCACCGATATTATCGGACATCCCTATTTTTAAACACTTTTTTATGATGGATAAAACTTAACAGTTGATTCCATGTTTTTGAGTCTTACCTCCTGCTGACAGTGACCCACTGTTTTTTTTTCTCCTCAGGATGTATGAAACCTCATGTACATGTGAAATTCTCCACTGAACTCCCAACATATGTTGTCTGACCTTTGGACTGGACCCGGATTCCAGCGTCGTCATGGAACAATTTTTTTTTGTTTCTTTTCCTTTTGTAACCCTTGGGGACACAAAGGTTTGGAGCTTTATAAGAACCTGTGCATGATGGACCCTGAGGACACGAGCTGTTCAAACCAGAAGGAACTGTGTACAGGTATTTACTTTTTGTTCTTTTAACCAAACTCATCGAACCGTTATTTACAAAGACCTCCGATACAGACAGGAGCAGCAGCGTGAAGTCATGTGGGTGAGGAAAGGTGGGGGGTTCTAACAGGGTGTTGTTTTCGCTCGTGTTCTGTACGTGAGGTCGGTTCTACAAACCTCTAACAGCAGCGGTGTATTATTTATTCATGCAAATATACTTTCACGGAATATGTTACTGAAGTGAATGTCACATTTGATTTGTAAATCATGAATGTCGATGTTAGAAGTTTGTGTATTTTAATAACAAATGTCAGACTAAACCTATACAGTAAATGCTGTTATAAATAATGAATAGGATTTTTTTTTCAATGCTTTTGCTCCATCGTCTCAAAAAAAAACAAACTGATCTATGGCACAAAACATCTTTTCTACTGAAGGTCCTTCTCTCTGCTGCTCTGACTTCACCGGGAAAAAACACAGGGTTCGGTTTTTGTACATGAGTTCAAACCTTGGTCTCACTTCTTCAGCTGGTCATCGTGCAGAGGAGTTTGTAGAAAGTTCTTTGGGGAGTGTTTGTTAGAATAACCGTCACGCGTTCGACACCGTTCACACAGAGCTAGTCTGGTTCCTGCACTGCTGCTGAGCTGGGTCGGAGTACAGTGTCAGGTACTGTGTGGGCTTAATCTTGGAAAAGGTGCTGCTGCAATACACATTCAACTCATCACCAGACAGCGAAACAAGTACCAAAGGACCACTTACAACAACTGTACCAGGAACTATTTTTTTAAGGAGGTGGATTGAGTTATTTTTATTTCCACCACTCCTTAGTACTTTGAAGATTATGGAGATTAGTTTTTAGTAGTACAACATAGGTCTGACCGCTCAGGTCAATTCGTATTATTTTTTTAAGAATGAATTTATGAAATACTTAATTTTCAACCCCCACCTCTAAAACGGAGAGGACAAAAATAAACAAATATATTTATCCAGTATTTGAATATATGTTAAAGTTTTTTTGACAGACAAAGAAGATGGAACTCTAAAAAATATATATATATCAAAATTTAGAAGTCTGCAGCAGATGCAGACTCAGAGTGAGCAGCTGTCTGATTCAGATGGGGGAGAGAGGAGAGGGAGGGGGAGGAGGGGAGAGTTCTGTCGTAGATGTGAGGGCGTAACAAAGCTAATATTTTGATTATTAATAATCAACGATTCTCCTGATAAAATGAAATCGCAGCTCTCAGACTTAGTTCCTGGTTTCTACAGTGGAAATGCAGACGGTGCTTGGTACTGTTTGTAGTTCCTGCTTCCCTATCATGGGGGTTACCGAGAGGTTAAAGTGTCAGTCGGACTGAGAAACAGTTCCTCTGCGGTAGAACCTGACAAGAACCAGTGAGAACAGAATGTGTGTTTTTACAAAATAAATCTCGTGGTAGACTGCCAGCACAGTCGCCCCCTAGTGGCCGATGCATTAAACTATGGCTCCCTTTTTTTTAATGATTCCTTGGTTGGTAACGCTAACCTTAACAATCAAGGATGATCAAAACAACTTCACACAGCCACGATCAGAAATATCTGAAAAACGAAACAGTCACTACGGTAGGAAAAGGGGCGGAGCAACATCTAACAGCCAGGAAGTCCTGGACTTAGAGACCTCTGTGGTTCCACAGTCCAGAAGAACCGTGATAAAGAAGCAGCAGTTTTCTGATTTAAACACGCCGCTTTCCCATTCCTCTCCCTCTCTCAACAAACATCCTCGCCTTCTCTTCCATGCAGAATTAGCAAGATTATTATTTTTGTAGAGAAATATAAATAATAACAAAAAAAAGAGTTTTAATACCGTGTACAGATTTTATATGAGAATGGACGGTTCAAGGTGTTCTCTTTGGTTCTGGTTTGACCTCAACTGTGCCGTGTGTGTAATTGTTTTATGCATTTACAATCATATTTATTATGAATTGGAGAAAAAAAAGTCTGTTAACTGTGTTCTGGTTTTCTTACAATATTTGTAAAAAAAAAAAAGATGTATTTGCAAAAGTAATATTCAACCTATAAAGAATGGAAAACATTTGTTGTCGGCTACTACATTTTCCGCACACTTTCCCAAATGATGTCACAACACACAGAACACCCAGTCTTCTTTTAATAAAAAAATTAAAGAAAAAGGCTAATAAACTGCATCATTAATTTTTCATAAAATTTTAAAAATCAAAGACAAACACAAAGAAAAAATAACATTTAAAAATTTTTTTTGTCCAAATGCTCTAATTTGCAGACAAGATAGATTTGGAAAAAATGTGGCCAAAGCATTTCATTGAAATTTTTCAATATCACGAGAAAATGCTAAAAATAAATAAATAAAAAGTCCCAAAAATACCTGAAAGACACTGCCACGCAGTAGGTGGCATTTATGTTCCTTAATGCAGACCTCTAGGTTGGCTTAAGGGGAAAAGAAGAAGACAAAACGACACTACAAACATGAACAGAAGTCAGGATGTTTTGCGACTGTGATTCATGGGGAAGTCACGAGTGAGTTTTCTGTTAACTTATACCCAATAAATGGCATTGTAAGAGTTTTATTTATTCAGATCCCTTCTCCATAGCAAAGTAGGCCGGGTTTGGTCATGAAATTCCCGGGCTGAAAAAGGAGCCCACTCCGACCCTGCATGTATATATGTATATATATATAT